TGGCTGCTCGTACAGACACACCTTATTCATGACCTACACAACTGCTGGCGAACAGGTAAGTCTTTTGACAATGCCCTTTGCTTCAGGATGTGCCCGTTGGTAGAGAACTTGGACTCTTGACCTGCTTTTCACGTTTCTGAGCCCTGGCGAGATACCTTTTCAGGCTGCTTTACTTTTACATGGCCCACTTTGCTTAGTTACAAGGCCTGAGGCCTACATTGGGTGAAAAAGGCCCTTTCATAAACAGGCATATCTGCATTGCTGGTGATGGATGGCAGCACAAAAGTTGAAACAGGTATATCCCCATTGCTAGCACAACCTGTTTGACACAACGGTGAATGCGGTTTGCGAGCAAAGAACTGCTGCACAAGCCCCATATCAACATGGAAATGAAGGAGAGCAGTAATGTCAGTAGCCCAGGGTCATCATCTGCGCCGGGCAGTCACTGGATCTAACAGATAATGGTTTTGAGGGTCATCCACTGCGAAAAGACTTTCGCATAAGTGGATATGTGGAAGTATGATACGATGATTAAGAGAAGCGTGTGATTTCTGAACCCATTGAAATGACTCAAGGCATGGTGTCCTGGTTGAGAATTCATTTAAGAGCAGCTTGAGTGCAGTCTTCATTTACTGTAACATCGCGTCATTCAATTTTATTGCAATTTATAATTGGGGGCATTGCATAGAAGAAAGCAGAGCACAACTTACAGTTATCAGCATCAGATCTGTCTCCGCTAGGCACACTGCTCGCCACAGTCTTCTCTTTCTCCGGCGGCAATAATCCGTTTGATGTTCTTGATAGACTTGGCCCATCATCAAACTGCAGCTGCAAACCAACATAACACGAAGTCGGCAGCAGCACTTGTGAGGCCACATTTCATTAAATGAAAACATGCAAATGTTGCGGCAATCAAGAAGACGTGAAAACAACCAGCTCATGTGAATGAATCGGACACACACATAACTGCCAATACCAGATCATGAGTTTGAATCCTTATCGAATGAGATTGATACAATAATGTTAGCACCTTCCCCCTTAAGACCACCGGTCCATCCAAGCCTGCCTCTATTTTCCCACACAGGTTTCCGTAGCACGTCAAAAAAAAAAAACGACTCGTGCACGAAATTGCATCTTTTGGCCTGTCGTCTGCCAGCCTTTTCCGTAAAGTACGCCTGAGCCCCCAACCGTGTGTCAGGTCAACCACTGCATCGGAACAACTGTTTTTTTTTTTTTTTTTTAAGGTGGTGGGACACAGCATTGTGATGACCCAACCAAACACAAACTGAGACACACAGTTGATTTCTGAGTTTTGCTCATGGACTGAATGCCTTGCTGAGTTTCCCTCTTGCTGGTCTGCACGTCTGTCTGAGTGCTGGTTCTCTTGAGTGTGTGTGTGACCCGCAAGGGCACTTGTTCGTTCATTGGGCCCTCAGGGCCGGTACTTACCTGTGGCCGTGACATTGAGGATTGCAACGGGGGAAACACTCAAGTAGCAGGTAGGCCGGTACTGCACCCTGAAGCGGTAGATGTGCGGGTACTGGAGGCCGAGCAGAAGAAGACAGAAGTGGCATTTTGAGAGGCCCAGTAGTCGTAGGCTAGGTCTAGGCGGGTACCAGTCCAACCAGTCTGAGTCTAGGGCCTGTACGGGCAATATCAGAGTCTGCAATGACGATTCCCTCCGGAAAGGGAGGAAGTACCGGTCGCTGGGAAGGCTGAGCGGCCTGGAAGTCACCGCCCAAGAGGCAAGCAGGCCGCTATATCTCCAGGCCGGGCGAAGAGCCCAGCCTCATTGTCGGTGTGCAAGTTTGGCGACACACTGGTTGGAGTGCTGGCTGGAGCAGCGCTGCTGGGAAAGGAGCAAAGACATGGAGGAGGAAGAAGAGCAGGAGGAAGGGGGAGCGCCAGAGGTACTTACCTGGCTATGGTGGCAGCCATCTTCATCACCTTGGTGGGCGCTGCAGCGGGAAGACCCCAGCTGGGGTAGAGCTACACCAAGAAGCTTCGAGGCAGAGTCAGGCATGGCGGCCTTAGGTAGAGAAGCCATAGATGCTTTGGATTGTCCTTTGGGCATCAGGGTAAAAGGCCCAGCAGTCCACCATAGCCTCGGCCTATGAGAGTGAAGAGTGAGGGAGGCGGCCATGGCTATGGTGGACCTCAAGTGATACCTGCAGTAGAAGAGGGATTCAGACATTGATTCTGGTTCAGCCATTCAACATTGTACTATTATTTCTTGTGTGAATAAGAGAGGAGTAAAGGAGGAGGAGAGTGTTTGGCAAAGAAGAAGAGCTTTATCATTTGTCTATGCTGGTGTACAACATCTTCTTCTTCTTTCTTTCTTCTTCTTCTTCTTACCCTCTCTCTCCTCTCAAGTTCATTCATTTCTTTCTGCAATTGGACGGAATTGTACTATCTGATGAATGTGTACTTCAAAATTGGCCAGGATCATAACATTGGTATCACAGCGGATTCCATTTGCTGGTGAGAGTTGACTTATCCACCTTAACCCTAACCTAAGTGGTAAGGGCTAACCACTTAGGGTTAGGGTTGGTCCGAAGTGGGAAGTGGGGCAGCGTGGCTTAGGGAAGCTGCCCCCACCTGGTTAGGTCATGCTGGGTCGGCATTGAACCTGACCAGGTTGTTTGAGGGTAAGTATGTGGTGGCGAGACACATCAAGTTGAGAGAGGCGACAGTGAGAGGCGACACTTGGTGACTCGAGGGCCTCCCTCAAGTGGCAATCTCGAGGGAGGTAGCCATTCTGCATCTACGGACTGCAAGTTACTACTTTGTTCTTCAGCATCGGCGGGGGATCCGGCGTTGCACATTGGTGTTGGACGTGAGACCCTCCTACATGATAGGACACTAGTGTAGAGGTAGCAAATAGGGTTAGGAAGACCACATGAGGAAGGGGGGTGAGTTATACTTCATCTCAGAGTCCGGGCCACTCAGGCAAGTGTCGTGCACCTAAGGGTTGCCCATGTATGCGGCATGGTATTGTTTGTCCTGCTGGGGTAGTTCTCCGGGTCTCTTTCCTACTCCACTGAAGTCGTGGTTGTGTGCATTGGTGTGTGAATGGATGTAGTCTGTAGGTTCTGTCTTGAAGTTGAAATTCGTTTTACAGTACGGTGGAGGCAGAAAGTAGGACCTTGAGGTACTCTCCTTGGTTGGGACTTGGTCGCAACCTACTTGGGACCCAGTGGGACCGGGCCCAAACAAGAAGGGCCCCTTGGACCCAAATCTGCTGACGCAGTGTCGCTCTCTGTTCTGTCTGGGATAAGGTATTCTTCTTTTTTATTAGAGCCCTTGCTGCCGAGGGGATCTCGGCTGAGATGCTTTGTCAAACTGATGACACACAATCCAATGCTTGACCTGCACCTTATACACCACTCAATTCTCCATTGCTGTATGATGTTACTTGTAGTCTGGTTTGCTGTACTTCGACGGTGGCAGTTGGATTAGGCTCAAGGGGATCTTGTACTTGGTCTGACCAGACTTGAATGCGGAATCAGAACTCTCGTATGAACGTATTGTATTCTTTGATTTGTTTTTTTTCGGTTGCTCTCTAAGTCCAAATATTTGCCGCTCCGGCTAGGAGTTCCATCTTCTTCTCTGTACTTTCAGTTTGTTTCTTTTTTGAAATCCACTACATGCCTATTGAGATGCGCGGCCAAGAGAGAAGGGCGAGAGAAGCCATGGCAACTGAAGAAGCTAATAGTTCCAACATGGCACCAGCCAAACTTTCTGATATTTTAAAGGCTCGCATGGATGCAACGGTTGAGGCTGATAAACCACTGTATGAGGCACTTTATCAGAAAGAGTTGGCTGAGGAGGAAAAGGCGGAAGAGGCTAAGCGGAAAACAGCCATTGACGAACTTGAGGCTATTCTCAAAACAGTTCCGAATGTGTCTGATGCAGACTTTAAAAGAGATCTGGCTGTGTATGTACGTGCACTAGTGAACTACCATTTGCTCCGGGAGCTCCCGAGTGTGAAATCTCAACTACTCGAGGATGCAACTACTAAACCTTGGGTGGACCTCCGGATCAGTGAGGCTGAATGGAACGCTAGAATGACGGGAGGTTGCTTGCATTGCTTGAAAACAAACCATACGGTACAAGATTGCTACAGGCTGCAAGGAAACCAGAATCGGGCGTAGAGTTGGCATCAGCACCCTCTACGGCAAGGGAGACTGAATCTGATGCACTTCAGCAGTCCTCTCTTGAAGCCCCGTCATCTGCTGATTCCAAGGCTGAAGTTTGTCATGCTTTGTATGTTGAGCCTTGGGAGGAGTCTGAGATGGTTGACTTCCACTATCACTTAGAGCACTGGGCTGAGATGAAACACCAGCGTGCTGAAGGGACAGTGAAGTTAATCTTCTTCAAGCTTCTCATAAACCACCACTATCTCCATGTCTTGATTGATTGTCATGCGACAACTAACTTTATGTCACCACACGGGATATGCAAAGTGGGCTTGGGGATGAAGCAAGTGACTTTACAGAACCCTTGCCGAACTCAAGTAGGCAACAAGGAAGTTGTCTCATCTACGCATGTAGTCAAAGGTTTGCGCACTACCTTTGACAAGGACAAGACAGTCGCCCACGCACTGAACGTCTATGTCCTTGACAAGTGTCCCTTCGACGCAGTCCTTGGTTTGGGCTGGTTGCAGTCCCAATGTGAATGGACCAAGGGTAAGGAGCCACTTCTCATGGTCAAAGATGCTAAAGGGAACAAGCTTCCCGTCCTCTTGGATGAGAAGAGTGAGTCCTCAGAGACTTTTCTCAATGCCCTGCAGTTCTACAAACAGTGGCGCAAGCACAAAGAGGACGAACAAATGTATGTTGCCTATGTTCGCCCTACCCATGTGCAATCTACTTTTGCGGCTAGTACCAATCCTACTTCATCTAGTGAGTCTACTTCTAATACTTTTACTTTTCTACCTTCTACTAGTCCAAATGATTCTACTTCAGATTCAATCGCTTCCATTCGTAATCTGCGACCTGATTTAGGTGACCCGTTTGTTGATCCTTCGCACCCACCGATCCCAACCAGCATCCACAACCTACTTGACCGATTCCCGAAAGTTATGGCCGAACCATGTGGAGTCCCCACACGATCGGTGCAACACACAATCGAGTTGGTCGGAGGTGTTCTTCCAAAGGGCTGCGTATGCCGAAAGGGATCTGACGAGTTGGAGGAACTCCGGAACAAATCGGTGAAATGATCGACAAGGGTTGGATCAAACCGAGCGAATCTGAATTCGGTGCACCTTTTTTGTTTGTCCCTAAGAAAGGAGGCAAACTCCGTATGTGAATCGATTATCGCGGTTTAAACCGCATCACGAGGAAGAATGCATACCCATTGTCACGCATAGATGACTTGCTTGATGTTGGTGGTGGGAGCAAGGTCTTCTCCAAGATCGATCTCAAGTCTAGTTACCACCAGATTGAAGTCGATCCTGCGGACCAGCACAAGACTGCGTTCAAGACACGCGATGGGCTTAACGAATTTATCGTAATGCCCTTCGGCCTCACGAACGCACCAGCCACCTTTCAAGGCCTTATGGATAAGGTCCTCTGCGAACAGATTGGTCTATTTGTGGTAGTGTATCTCGATGATATTCTGATCTTCAACAAATCCATTGAGGAACACATGAGGCACCTTGAGGAAGTGTTCACCATCCTCAAGAAAACACAACTTCATCTCAACTTAGAGAAATCTGAGTTTGGGAGGGATAGCGTCATCTATCTTGGGCATCGGTTGTTTGCTGCTGGCCTCGAGCCTGAGGCAACCAAGGTTGAGGTCATACGTGACTGGCCTCAGCCCGCGAA